GCCCAAGACAGGTGTGTCCCAGGTTCTGGGGAAATTATCCTGCAGTCTACATTATTAAAGCGATCCGAATCCTACCCATCACTGAGATAGGCAGTGAATTATGATGATATTTCCCTGGAGTGAACAACAGCCATGTGTTTAATTTGCTTTTCTACCTCCTGTAATTAATGCACTGCTAAGTTCCGAGGGAGCTGTAAATTGTAACAAGTCTCCCCTTGTTGTGCATAAACACAGCCAGGTGACAATCCCCCCAGCTCTGCCTAAGCGTTTTGCATCCAGCACTTCTCTGTCAGTCTGTCGTACTGTGGTGGCTTGTACGTTGCTGTGATTCTGAGAGTTATGCCATGGTATTTTATATACCAGGTGGGTCACCCACGGTGGGTAGGTTTCAACTGAGCTTCCAGACAAAGACAGACTAGGAAGGAGAGACAGATTATTTCCAAATACTTAGTCACTGAAAACCTTATGGAGGGCAGTGGAACACTGTCAGATAGCACCAGAGTATTGAATATCAAAACATGATGAAGAACACCAGAATACTGTCAGATAGAGTGTTGGAAGATGAGCCCCTCAGAGTGGAAGGCAGTCAAAATGCAACTGGGGAAGAGTTGCCTCCTCAGACTAGAGTGATGGTGAGGATGCGAATGGAGTAAAGTTTTCAGACCTTCTTCATTTGCTGATGAAGCACAACTCAAAATGAGGAGAAACAGCTGTGAACATCTGTTAATAATCAGAACATGGAATGTATGAAGTATGGATCTAGGAAAATCAGAAACTGTCAAAAATGAAATGGAATGAGTAAATATTGATATCTTAGGCATTAGTGAGCTGAAATGGACTGGTATTGGCCATTTTGAATCTGACAACCACGTGGGTTGCCGGGAATGACAAATTGAAGAGGAATGGCGTCACACTCATTATCAAGAAGAACATATCAAGATCGGTCTTGAAATACAAACCTATCTGTGGTAGGATAACATCCCACACACCTACAAGAAGGACCGGTTAATGCCACTATTATTCAAGTTTATGGACCAACCATTAAAGCCAGTGAGGATGAAACTGAAGAATTCTACCAATTTGTTCAGTCAGAAATTGATGAAACATGTACTCAAGATGTGTACTGCTAATTACTGGTGATTGGAATACAATGATTGAAAACAAAGAGGAAGGATCAGTAGTTGGAAAATATGGCCTTGGTGATAGGAAGAATGCTGGAGATCATATGATAGAATCTTGCAAGACCCATGACTTCTTCATTGCAAATACCTTTTTAAAACAATATAAAAGCCAACTATACACATGGGCCTCACCAGATGGAATACACAGAAATCAAACTGACTACATCTGGGGAAAGAGACGGTGGAAAAACTCCATATCATCAGCCAAAACAAGGTCAGGGACAGACCTTCCTGTGGCTACACACAAGATTGCCATACGGCGTCCAACAACAAGGAAGGACCAGTCTCTGAAGAAGGACATCATGCTTGGTAAATGGAGGGTCACAGAAAATGAGGAAGACCCCCAACGAGATGGATTGGCACAGTGGCAGCATCAATGGGCTCAAGCGTGGCAACTATTGTGAGGTTGGCCCAAGACAGGGCAGTGTTTTGTTCTGTTGTGCATTGGGTTGCTATGGGTAGGTACTGACTCGATGGCACCTAACAACAACAACAATCAGACTCTCTGGAGGGCTTGTTAGAATACAGACAGTCTGATGCTCTTCCAAGTTCCCGATTCAGTACGTCAGGAATGAAGCCTGAAATCTTGCCTTTCTCTCAAGTTCCTAGGTCTTGTTGATGTTGCTGGTCCAGGGACCACACTTTGAGAAGATGAACTCTATCAAACATGCCAAGATATCTTAGAAATGGCCCGAGTGCACAACAGCGTCTGCACATCCCTAACATTTTCACACAAGTGAGCACACTCGCATCCCTTTGCACAACCCAGGGTGTCATCACCTCCACACGAACGCTGTAGAAAATGATGCATTTTTTACAAGTGGGAAGGGAAGAATGAAATGAAAAGGGAACGCTGGGGACATTTGACAGGCAAGCGTCCGTGGAGTGATGCAAGTCTCTGCGTATTATTAAAACATGAGGCAGTGGAGATGTCAGAGGGGACCAGCCCCCAACTTGTGCAATTGGAGCTCATTGTGAGCATGCCAAAGTACAACGGCTTCGTGTCCACCAACTCCATGGGCAACGTTTGCTGACACCAGGTCCTATTCAAAGGCACTCTGCCTCACTTTCTCCCAGAACCTTTTGCGGTGTCTTGAGTGCCGTTGGCATCGGAATTTTGCTGGTGCGTTTTTGCTGCGGTGAGGGCATATTACGGCTTTCTGCCAGTACTTGCATACAAAGAAGTGTGTCCATCCTGTGGAGACCAGGAAGGACACGGGCCACTAACACTGTTTTTCTTTCCTGCATTTGGGCCATTCCCCACCCACTTCCCTGGACCATCCGCTACAAGCCACTTCCCTGAAAAGTCGGAAACAGCTGCTTAGGATTATTCAATAGTTTACCTCCAATCATAGGATATTCACTGCTGCTTTTCTAGGTAACTTAAAGCAACCTTTCTTACTTTTATTAAAAGAAAAAGAAAAGCTACAGCTAACAAGACCAGGTGTTGTCGAATCAACTCTGACCCACAGAGATCCTGCGTGCATCCGGGTACAACTGTGGTTTGTAATATTTTCATTGGCTGACTTTTTGGAAGTAGATGAACAGAACTTTCTTCCAAAGGGCTTCTGAGTGGACATGACCCTTTTATCTTTCAACTAGAAACCAGATGTGTTCATTGTTTGCACCATCTCCAGACTCCACAGTAAACTAGTGAAGATATAAGTGCTGAACATAGACTATTTAGTGGCAAACAAGCAAACAGGCTAAACCAAGCCATCAACCCGTAGCTAACGCCCAAGGGGAAAAGGAAGAGCCACCACAAATTAGAAGGAAGCCACAAATCCCTTGTAACACCACTTTGAAGAGGCAATTTTCTTGGACAGTAGCTATAACCCTAATAAATCCATTGGCAAAGAAGGAAATAATTTTTCCAACCCATTCTATAATAAACATTGGCAAATCGTAAGATTCGAGATTAAATCCAAGGCTGCCCCTATTGAAAAGCTAAGTAAAGTGTTTAGCAGAGGTTATGAAAGGTCTAGGGGCCAATTTTTGGACTGAACACATTCATTTTTCGACAAGTCAGGCCCCTTTCCTACTAGTGATACCTACGAGACGAGCTAGTGGAGGTCAACGTGAAATTAAAGGTCCCCTCTCAACACATTTAGCAGCTAACCTAAGATTGGTGGTTTGAGTCCAACCAGAGGTACTGCAAGAGAAAGACCTGGTGATGTACTTCCAAAAGGTCAGCAGCCACTGAGCACCCTATGGATGCTCAGTTCTCCCTAACACACAGAAGGGCACCAGGATTTGAAGTCGACAGTTTTTTGGTTTTGTTTTTTCAAGTTAATAAGAGGTAAAAAATGAATTCCAACTAAGAACAGTGGGTGTATGGACTGCCAAAAGAACCAATAGATCCGTTCTGGAAGAAGTGCAGCCAGAGCGCCCCCTGGAGTCCAGGATGGCCAAACTTCGTCTCTCATACTGTCAGGAGGAACCAGTCACTGGAGAAGGATACCATGTTTGGTAAGGTGGAGGGTCAGAGAAAAAGAGGAAGACCCCCTAACGAGATGGATTAGCCAAGTGGCAGCATCGATGGACTTAAGCATGGCAACAGTAGTGAGGTTGGCCCAGGATCGGGCAGTGTTTCATTCTGTTGTAACTCGGTACTGACCCGATGGCACCTAACAACAAAACGTGGAGTGTTAGAGACAAAGAGGGAAGACCCCCTGTGAAATGGATTGACACAGTGACAGCCGCAGTGGGCTCAAGTTTAACAACAGGTGTGAGGGTGGCTCAGGACCTGGTGGTGTCTCGTTCTGTTGTGCATGAGACGTCACTGAGCGTCAGAACCGATTCCATGGCCCCTTGTAACAACAAACCAGTGTTAATACTCACAGAACTATAAACCAAAATAAAATGTGTTTTTACTGCATTGTACATGAATAACAACAGCCCAAAACAGAAAGAGTGTTGGCTCTGGGGTCACTTTGATAAGATTTGGTTTCAGCTTCAATGGTTACTTCCTGTATGACATTGAATGAATCATTCTTTGTCTCTGTTTACCAATTTGTGAAATGGAGATAAACTTTCTACATTATAAATGTTTCATGAGGATTCAAAAAAATTCATGTAAATCACCCAGACAGACAGAACTTGGCATATAAAATAAATGTAATACTAACAAATGTTTACTCTCTCATTAAAAAACAAAACAAAAAAGATACAGGGTTGTATCAATTTTCAAACCAAGTGGCTCTATCTGGCTGTGTTTAGTACCAAATGCATTTCTATAACTCACAGCATGTAGCAGAAACACAGTAACGAAAGAGCACTTGAAATCCTCTAGTTAACAGCATCAAAACTGGATGAGCCGACCAGCAACCCTGGTTTGTGGGTTCCACATGGAACCCCATGCCCAGGCAGGGTTTTGTGTGCTGTTGTTTGTCCATCCCAAGACTGCACACCCTGAAGGCTTCCTGACCTATGACAAACCATCTCCCCCTGAGACTCATGACGATTCCCACTCAAAGGACAGGTAAGAAAAGGCAGCATTTCCCACAGCTGCATCATGTCAGCTTCTACGTCTTCATTGTTTTCCAAAGCTGCTTTCTTGAATATCTCCATAGCTGAACGTCTGCGTTATTCATGCAGATCGATCGAGCAAGGAAGGAAGCTGAGTTGGATCAGCAGTTTCAGCACCCAGAAACGGAGGTACATGGGGACGGCCCCCGAACACAAAATAAATCAGGAAAACCTTCACAACAGAAGGAGCCAAGCTCGCATGATATGTTTAAAGACAACGTGCAGACTCTCAAAATCATCTCCCGTGATAACTCAAGACGAGCACCTCTCGTTCTTGACAACACTCCTTACCTGGAATGGAGTCTGGCTGTTGTAGTTTTTTAATTCCTTGTTTCCGCCTCGAAACAGCAGCACCCTGGCACAGCTGTCCTGCAAGGTGAGAAGCAGAACTTAACTGTGAAGACAAGGGCAGAGAGACACACCTCGGGGAATGGCTCAGAAGCTGCCTGGTGCTGGTGGTGGTGGTTCTGTGCCGTGGAGTCGGTTCTGACTCATAACGACCCTGTACAGGGTTTCCGAGGCTGTAAATCTTTATGGGAGCAGAGAGCCTCATCTTTCTCCCGCGGAACGGCTGGTAGTTTTGAACTGCTGACCTTGAGGTTAGCAGCCTAACTCATAACCACTACGCTACCAGAGCACCTTAGAGGCTGCCTTGTTGTTAAGTGCCATCAAGTCGGTTCTGATCCATAGCGACCCTGTATAGGGTTTCCAAGGAGCGGGTGGTGAGCTTAAACCACCAACCTTGCAGTTCAAACAGCTTTGCAGTCTGGCGCATTAACCCACAGCGCCACACCAGGACTCCGAGAGGCTACCTAGACCACTGGAAATCAGGGACCCAGAAATGCCATGTGAGAAACGATGGGTTTCTTTCTGTTAGATGATCAGTGAAGACTTAGGGATGGGAGGGTGAGGCAGGGTAAAGCACTGATGAGAGGGTTGTTGGTGTTCAGTGACATTGAGTCAGTTCTGACTCATAGTGACCCTGTATAGGGTTCCTGAAGAGCTGCAGGAGGGTTTGAACTGCTGACCTTGCAGCTAGCTGTCCAGTGGACACTGATCAAGTTGGGTGAGGGGGAAGACAATATACAATAAGGAGGCCAGGAAAAATGATGAAGGTAAACGGGAGACACAAGAGATATGGCAAGAGAAAAATACTGTTAGATATATAATTCTGCATAACGGGGCTCTGGTACTGTAGTGGTTATGAATCTGGCTGCTAACCTCAAGGTCAGTAGTTTGAAACTACCAGCTGTTCCGCGAGAGAAAGATGAAGCTTTCTGCTCCTGTAAAAACTTACAGCCTCGGAAACCCTGTACAGGGTCTTTAGAGCTGGAACCGACTCCACGGCACACCACCACCACCACCACCATACAATCCTGCATAGACGGAGTTTGGGTGTAGCACTGGACTGCTAATTGCAGGGTCAGTAGTTCAAATCCCCCAACCACTCCTCAGAAACCCTAAAAGGGTCACTATGAGTTGGAACCGACTCCATAACAGTTAACAGTAACAGATGCATAGGCAGACAGGCAAGCGAGAGAGATGTGTGAAGGAGGAGGAGACTACACCCATGAAACATGTCAGTGTGACAGAGGATATTTCTACACGTGTATTTACATATAGCGTAGTGGTTACGAATAGGGCTGTGAACCACAAAGTCAGCAGCTCGAAACTACCAGCTGTTCCGCGGGAGAAAGATGAGGCTTTCTGCTCCCGTAAAGATTTACAGCCTCGGAAACCCTGTACAGGGTCACTATGAGTCGGAACCGACTCCACGGCACATGACAACAACATTTGCCTATGCGGCCAATATACCCAAGAATTTACTACAGCATCCCATGCCAAAACCAAGCCCATTTATGTTTGAAAAGTTTAGTGCATATCATAGAAACACAGAAATATGTTTCTGAGACTAAACACCTGTTAAGAGTATTAACTTTTCCCATGTTGAAACGGGATTAGAGAGAGAGTAAAGCTAAACCAAATCCACTGTCATCGAGTTGATTCTGTCTCAGAATCTATATAGAGTATGTGATCTTTATAGGGACAGACAGACTTATCTTTCAGAGGAGCAGCTGGTGGGTTTGAACTGCTGACCTTGCAGCTAGCAGCCTAACCCACTGGGCTCTTTAGGGGAGAAACTACGAAGGATCTATTTTTTAAGTGCAAGGTCAGCAGTTCAAAACTACCAGCCGCTCCTCAGAAATCCTATACAGAATCGCTAAGAGTCGGAGCCAACTCAACAGCACATTAACAGCAACAGCATTTTTTTTTAAATTAAAAAACATGTTTTTAAACGGGCAGTATTAATTTCTTGTGTATTAAACTAATGTTAGTTGGAGTCCTGGTGTGGCGCTGTGGTCGAATATGTCAGAATGCAAAGTCAGTTTGAACTGCAAGGTCAGTGGTTCAAACTCACCAGCTGCTCCTTGGAAACCCTATACAGGGTCGCTATGGGTCAGAATCCACTCGATGGCACTTAACAACAATGTCAGTTAAGTGCTTAACACATATCATGTAGAGTTCTAAGTGCTGAGGAAAGAGTAGCGAACAAAACAAAAACAAATCCTGCCTTCCAGAAGGTTCCACGTTATTTGTGCTTTGACTACGATACACCAGTGTTGCTGTTGGCTAAGCTACCTTCCAGTCAGCGCCCAACTCATGGTCACCCTCGCCCCCTTGCCAATGGAACAAAATGCCGCCCAGTCCCGCATCGTCCTCAAGGTAGGCTGCCAGTCAGACTTTGCGATCCACACAGTTTTCATGGGCTGAGTTTTGGAAGTAGATAGCCAGGCCTTTCTTCCTAGTCTATCTCAGCATCCCAGAAGCAGGCAGGCTCCACTGAGGACGGTGGTGCCTATCACCCGGTGCAGTGACGAAGGTAAACGAGTGCTGAACCACGTGTCACATTAGGCCTTCAGGGACCACCTTCTAGTGCGTCAGTCTTCTGACAGCCGGGCACTTTGCATACGTCAGTCTGTGTAGTGACAATGAGGCTGCAGTCGCAGAGACCCTCACCCTTTCACTGTCCACTCTGGAAGATCTTTCTTCCTCACTGCATCCATGAAGTACCTTCTAACCCATCCCGCATAGACGGTGTTCTTCTTAGGTATTTTCACAAGGAGCTCTGGTAGCGTAGTGGTTATGAGTTGGACTGCTAATCTTAAAGTCAGCTGTTCGAAACTACCAACAGTTAAGCAGGAGAAAGATGAGGCTTTCTGTTCCCATAAAGATGTTCAGCCTTGGAAACCCTATAAAGGGTGGCTATGGAGCTCTGGTAGCGTAGTGGTTACGAATCGGGCTGCGAACCTTAAGGTCAGTGGTTCGAAACTACCAGCCGCTCCGCGGGAGAAAGATGAGGCTTTCTACTCCCGTAAGGATTTACACCCTCGGAAACCCTGTACAGGGTCGCTATGGGTCAGAACCGACTCGACGGCACACAACAACAACAACATGAGTCAGAACTGACCCCACCGCACACCACCATCATGCATTTTCACAGTGAAAATAAATCTGTTCTTTATCTACTTATTGAATATCTACTATTTGTCTGTGGGGCTGCTATGGATGGGATTGTGTCCCTCTGATATGTAGGCTGGAATCCTAATCGCTGTACCTGCGGATGCAGCCCTGTGTGGGTATAGGGTTTCCCTTGCGATGTAATGAGGCTACAGCCGTGTCTGGCGGGTCCCAAACCTGCCGCATAATAAGGAGCAGATCAGACCCAGAACAAGAAGGACAAATGAGGGACGACAGAGGTCAAGTGAAGGTGACCAAGGAATGCGGGGGGCTACAGAATATGAACCCACAGTGAGCGAGCCTCGCCCTGCAGCTGGTGCCCTGAATTCCAACTTTGAGCCCCCTGATATGTGAGAACAACTATTTCTGTTCTTCAAAGACACCCCTTTTGACAATCCTCTTACAGCAAAGAAGTTCATGCAATAAGATGGGCAGGAACAGACAGCTACAAAATAAAACAGAAGAATTGCTCATAAATGCAGTTGGGTTTTTTAGAATGATCATGTTTTCCCAAGAGCACTAAAAATAATCAGTGTGCACTGATGCTTGTATATTGTGTAGTTTCAGGCAGCCTGCTCGTGGGTCAGGGACACGTCTCCTACAGGGGTCTGCGTGTAAATGGCTTCCAAATGCAGGTTCCAAATGTCTGCACTGGGTATAGCCAAGTGGCTTCACCATCTAGAGTAGAGGTGAGTGATTTAGAGGAATAGTGGTCCAGAGTAGAGGGCATCTAGCATGGTACACTTGATCTAGACAACACATGGTTTTGAGCAGAGGTGGTCTAGAGTTTTGATGAGCTAGAATAGAGGTGACCTAGAGTCAAGATGACATAGCGCAGAGGTAACCAAGAGAAGAGATGCTTTAGAACAGGGGTGATCTACAGAAGTAATCTAGAGAACAGATGCTCTACAGTAGGGGTGATCTAGAGAAGACGTGATCAAGGAAACAGATGATCCAGAGCAGAGGTGATCTAAGGTAGAAGTGATTTAGAGCCTAAATGATCTACAGAAGAGATGACCTAGAGAAGAGGTGATCTAGGGTACAGATGATCGAGAGCAGCAGTGATTTAGAGTGGAGATGACCTGGAGCAGAGGTGATTTAGGTAATCTAGAGACGAGATGATCTAGAGCAGAGGTGATTTAGAGGCTAGGTGATCTCGGGCAGGGGTGATCAAGAGCAGAGGTGATCTAGGGAACAGATGATTGAGAGCAGGCGTGATCTAGAAAACAGATGCTCTAGAGCGGGGTGATCAAGAGCAGAGGGGATCTAGAGGGTAAATGATCTAGAGTAGAGGTGATCTAGGGAACAGATGACCTAGGGCAGGAGTTATCTAGAGCAGAGGTGATCTAGTGGCTAGATGATCTCGGGCAGGGGTGATCAAGAGCAGAGGTGATCTAGGGAACAGATGATTGAGAGCAGGTGTGATCTAGAGGGTAGATGATCTAGAGCGGGGGTGATTTATAGTGCAGATGATCTAGAGCAGAGGTAATCTAGAAAACAGATGATCTAGAGCAGGGGTGATCTAGGGAACAGATGATCTAGAGCAGGGAGCAAAGGGGATCTAGAGCAGGGTTATAATCACCGTCCTGACACTTGACATATATTTGCTGTAGGAAGGTATAAATTAAATAACTCACCAAAGATTTCCATCTGGGGAACTATTTGAAACAACAGGTCCGAGACTCCACCCATGACCAGAGTGGAAATCACTGCCCGAGTGGAAGGGAAGGGGTCTAGGCTAATAACAGTGTACTTGTTGTAAAGACAGGAGACAGATTAGGGATGACCAAGGCCTGGGAAGAGATTCCTGCTGGCACAGTGGGTTAAGCACTGGGCGGCTAATCTCAAGG